TTTAAAATTGAAATTGGCCTTTAAAATTGAAATAAAGCCAGTGGAATTACATTTTCTCATGTGAACTAATACCTCTTCTAACAGCTTTAATGGACCTTAGTATGCAATCACTGCACAGAATCTCTAAATGAGGAGATGACACAGCCCTGTCTTTCTTGTTTTAATAATAAATTCATCTCTCCACCTTTATAATCCCTTCATTTGCCTGATGAGATCAGGCACCTGAGATGGAGACACAATATCTTCATTACGTCCAACTCCCCAAGATAATATTAATATTAAATGGCAATCTGTATGTATTATATTTATTTATGTATTATATATATAAACCTATATATGTAAATATCTCTCTCTCTAAAAATATTTATATATAAATATATATAAATATAAATAAATGTAATACTGTATTAGGGAGGCACTGGATCAGGTTGCCCAGAAAAGCCGTAAAGTCTCTTCTAACCCAAACCATTCCATGATTCTGTGATTCTAATTCTGATGAGTGATGTTTTTTTCCTTGGTAAGAGAAGAAATCCCTCTGTCTCCTCCTTCATCTCAAAGAATCCTCTGTCTGACCAGGTTTGAGCAGGAATGAAGCACCTTGGCAATTACTGTTCATAATAATGATATTAGGATAAGCCAATGTATGATATGTTATGATATATTATATTAAAATATGATAGTTGCTCTTTGAGCAGCTCTGTGTCTGTCTTCTCTGCCTGGGGCAAGTGTGGAGTGGGATGAAATGCTCTAATGGATTGGGAATAATTCTGGATCTGTGGGTTGGGGCTTTGATGCCCCTTTGTGTTTAAATCACAGAATCATAAAATTATGGAATGGTTTGGTTTGGAAGGGCCCTTAAAGCCCACCCAGTGCCACCCCCTGCTGTGGGCAGGGACACTTTCCACCAGCCCAGGTTGCTCCAAGCCCCGTCCAACCTGGCCTGGGACACTTCCAGGGATGGAGCAGCCACCCCAAGGATTACAGGACATATATAAAAGATAAAATCAGGATATATATTCCAATTTCTCAGCGAATTAAACCCACCCCATGTCTCAGTAACACATTCCCCAACTGCTGGGCTGAGGGAGCAGGGGCCAGGAGAGCTGCCCTGCTTTGGGAACACCAGAACCAACAGGACATTCCCGGCACTCTGAAGGTGTTTGAGGTAAATCTTCTCCCTTTGGGACAAAGAACTCCTGCTAAAATCCCAGCAGGAGCTCCAGTGCAGCACAGGAACACCGTGGGAAAGAAACTGTTCCCAAAGCTGATGGGAAATCTCGTGCCCTGAGAGGGCAGCGCTGGGACAGAACCTCCAGCAGGGAAACCTGGAAAGCTGAAGTGATGCCTTTTCAAGAACACCCCTCTGAGCACATCCCCAAGTCCTCTTTCATTTTTGGGTCAGAAAAAGACGCTTGTGTCTCCTACACGGGCTGAAAACCACCCAGCCCACAGAGGAATGACGGGAGCAGAAGTGGGAAACACGGCGAGAAATTGGAAAATGATGCAGTGCTGATGCTGGAGCACAGCGAGTGTCTGGAGTCACCACAGCCCTCTTATAGGAAACGAGCTCCCAATTAAAATAAAAACAATCTGAAAATGCAATATAAAAACTCTTGATTCATCCTGCTCCCTTCACATTTGACAGCAAAAAAATCCCAGTGACTTCACAGCACACGAGGATTAGGAGAGCTTCGTGCAGCCTTTTGGCCCTGAGAGTGACCAGTGAGAGCTGAGGGGGAAATATTTGGTGTTTATCCTGAGTACAGCAGTAAAATCCTGGAATCATTCAGATTCCAAGAGCGTGGAAACCAAGAGTCCCCAGCACTGCCAATCCCTTCGCTGCCCCATGTCCCCAAGTGCCACATCCACAGGGCTTTTAAACCCCTCCAGGGATGGGGACTCCATCCCTGCCCTGGGCAGCCTGTTCCAATGCTTGACCATCCTTTCCATGAAGGAATTTTCCCTACTATCCAATCTAAACCTCCTCTGCTGCCACTTGAGGCTGTTTCCTCTTGTCCAGTTGCTTGTTCCTTGGAAGAAGAAACTAAAATAAAGAATAGAAACAGAAAAGCTTAGAGAGAGACTATTTACTGGAGCAAGGAGTGACAGGACAAGGGAGAATGGCTTCAAACTGAGAGAGAGGAGGCTTAGATGGGATACTGGGAAGGAATTCTTGGCTGGGAAAGTGGGGAGGCGCTGGCACAGGGTGCCCAGAGAAGCTGTGGCTGCCCCTGGATCCCTGGAAGTGTCCAAGACCGGGTCGGAGCAACCTGGGCTAGTGGAAGGTGTCCCTGCCCACGGCAGGGGGTTGGAATGACACGATCTCTAAGCTCCCTTCCCACCCAAAGCAGTCCGCGATTCCGTGATCCCGCGATTCCATGAAAAGCTTATCCACGTCCCTCACCCCGACCTTATTTCTCCGTCACTCCCGTGTGCCAGGGGCACAGTCCCGAAGGCAGGAGCTCCAGGGCTGCTCAGTCGGCACCCCCGGCCCCCCCCGCCGGGCGGGATTCCCGGCCCCGCCGCTCTCGGGATGAGTCGCGGCTGCCCCCGGGCCGGGGAGAAGGGGGAGGGAGGGAGGAGCGCAGGGGGAACTCCCGCTCCGGAGCCCCTATAAGAGCCGGGCCCGGCGCGCTCCGACAGCAGCGGGATGGAGCGGAGCAGCAGCAGCAGCAGCAGCAGCAGCAGCACCGGGATGAGCGGGATCACCGGGATCACCGGGAATACCGGGAGCGGGCGGGCAGCGCCGCCTGGCGGTGGTCGGCGGGCACTGCTGCCCGCGCTGTGCCTGCTGCTGGCGCTGGCGCCGCTGCCCCCGGGCCGGGCACTGCCCACCCCAAACCTGGCACTGCCCTCCCCGCAGGCCCTCAACCGCTCCAGGGAGCTGCTGCAGGCCGCCCACGCCTCCCTCCGAAGGCTGAAGGTCTGGCAGGGGCCCGGCGGGGAGCGGGGATGGGGACAGGAGATGGGTGGGGTGATGGGGTAGTGATGGTGGGACCCAGGGGGGATGGTAAAGGGGTAGTGGTGGTGCCCAGGAGGACGGTGAAGGGGTAATGGGGGTACCCAGGAGGGCAGTGATGGGTTGGTGAGAGCATCCAGGAGGGCAGCGATGGGATAGTGATGGTATCCAGACAGGCAGTGATGGGCTGGTGAAGGTGCCCAGGAGGACAGTTTGGGGCAGTGGTGGCACCCAGGACAGTGGTGGGTTGGTGAAGGTACCCAGGACAGCGGTGGGTTGGTGAAGGTACCCAGGAAGGTAATTTGGGACAATGGTGGTACCCAGGAGAGTGGATGGACTATGGAGGTGCCCAGGAAGGTGGGGAAGGTGCCCAGCTGGCAGTGAGGGGCTGCTGAGGGTCCCCAGGAGGGTGGGTGTTCCCTGCAGCCTCCCTTTAAGACCATCTGATGTCCCACCTGCCCCGCTCAGCCCTTCAGGTTGGGGGTTTGCTCAGGAGCCTTTCCTTTTTCGTTTTTTTTTTTTTTTTGCTAAAATTCCCTGCTATTTTTGCAACCTCCACCTCAGGGAACCCTAAAAACCCCCAGCACTGAACAGGGGCTGTTCCCCACCCTGTTCCACCTTTGAGGACAATATTGGTTATTTTTTCACTTTCTAAGAGACCCTTTACCTTTGAAAACCAAACTGACAGAAAGTTCTGCAGGGAGTTGATGTCTGAGAGAAGAACTGAAAGCAGAAGAGGCAGAGCAATTCCCACCACCATATAAACCAAATCTGTGCAAAGCCTGAGCTTATTCCCAGTCTATTATTTTCCACCTTTCATATTTAACCAGAGCCCTCATCCCTAGGATT